CTGGGCGGGCAGAGCCCAAAGCCCCCTGCCAGCAGAGCCAGCTCTTAGAGAGGGGGCTTCTTGCCCCACCTCCAGGTGAATGTGGAAGGTGGGGGCAGCTGGTGGGGATCTCCTCATCAGCTCCCACCCAAGGCTGGGCAGACCCTGGGTGAAAACCCATCAGGAGGGGCTTTCCTGCCTGGTTGTGGCCATCACCCACCTGCCCACCCTCCTTCAGGGCTGGGGGTTTAACCCCATCAGCCTCTCTGCCCCTTTAGCCTACTGATGTCTTGATGGGCCCCAGCCACAGGGCAGCATCTCCTCCTTGACCCCTGTGCACCCCAGATGTCCCCCCTGGGCCTTGCTGGGCTGACTCCTGCCACTCCTGCCTTAGATAGCCTCAGGAGAGGGTTCAAACCCCATTTTCTAACTCAGCATCTGGCTTGAAGGATTTGTGAGGACCCAAGAGCTGAGACTTTTGGTTGGCAGTTTGCCTTGCACTAGTGGGTGGCTCTCCATGGACAATTGGGTCCTCTACTCTTTGGTAGGTGCTGCTCAGAGGCCATGAGCTGTTTTGGGTGGCAGAGGATCCAAAGCTGAGGATATATTCCCCACAGGCAATATAAACAGATATAAATAGGGAATTTTATACCTATAAAAAAGAAACCACACGGACATTTCAAATCACAGCCAGTGAAACTGAGCTTTGGGCACAAACCTCAGTGAGTAAAAGTGGAAAGGAGCCTCATTTATTTGACTTTTCCCAGTTATCCCTCTGTTTTATCCTTAGTTTGATATCATGGGGGCACACCACTGGTCCTTCTTAGAAAGCATGTTGGACCCTTAGAGGTCCAGCTCAGCTTTGCCTTCAAGGCACCCCTAGAAGCTCTTGATTTCCTCCTGCATCTTTGCAGTGTCTCAGCAGATTTCAAGTATAAATAAAGGGCTGTCATCCCACATCAGCACAGACTGCTGCTGGCCAGACACAGCCAGTGGCAGCACTGGAGCCTGATGCACAGAGAGATTGGGGTCAATGCTGCTGAGCAAAACCATCAACCTGGCAGAAAATTGCTCCTCTCTGAATTCTCAACTATCTTCTGCCTAATTTGTTTGTGTTTCTGAGCCTCAGAGCTAAGGTTTCTTTTTCCTTGGAGCTCTGACTGGGTTGAGTGTTGTCTAGAGGCACAGGTTGGGGTCTTTGGGGGGTCCTGGCACTTCTCAGGGATGTCCTTTGACCAGGAAGGTGGTGGGTGTGCACAGCACGAGCTTAGGTGAGATGATGCTCTTCAAGATGCTCTTCAAGAGCACGGGTTGGCTGCTGGAAACAAAAACCCCAAAGAAGTTTAGACTCTGCAGATGCCTTGGGTGATTTAGGGTTGCACTGACCACACAAACCACACTGGGCAAACTCCACTTGGCACTTTCTGTACAGAGCCAGACACAGCAGTGGGCAAATGATGCTCTTGGAGGAGGTTGTGGTGGAGGGAGTGTCCTGCCAGTGCTGCCACTGCCACCCTCCTGTAGATCCCAGCTCTGCTTCCCCTCACCTCCTGCTTTCTGGCCAAGACAAGTGACCTTCTCACCACCAAAAGCCTTCTTCTTTCTGCAGTCCTGCATTAATGGCTGTGAGAGTTGAGCAGAGCCCAGGTTGGTGGCTTTTCTTTCCCTTGAGCTTCTGAGTGGTTTATTTATGTCATTTCCTTTTATATTTACTGCTGCAAAACTGAACCCTGGTTCATACAGGTCCTCCTGTAGGTATGTATGTGTGCAGTGGGAGTCTGTCTGCAGAGTAGGAAGGAGTAGTTTGTATTTTCTAGCTTGCCCAGACCTGCTTAGAAGCAAATTCAAGTGCAGCCTGCTAGTGTCTTACCCTGCTGATTCCCTAAACCTCTATCTTAGTTGCATTTATGAATATTACTGTTAAAAATGCAGATTATCCTTGCCTAACTAACAACAGAAGAGCTTGATGAACACTGATCTTCCATGACTGGCAAGGGGGTGAATCCTGGAGGGGACACAGCAGCCCTGGATGGGGGTCAGGCTCCTTTCTGGGGTCAGCAGGGGGAAAAGGACCCCACAGACCCCCCAGAGGAGAGGGCAGCTGCTGCTGAAGGGTGCAGCCTGGGCTGGGGAAGGTTAAGAAGGGAAGGGGGTGTCAGAATTAAAGGGCTGTTGCTTTAGTTTGAGCATCACTGCTGAGTAGGAACAAAGGAGGAAGGTGAGGCCAAGGGCTTGCATCAAACCTGAGCAACATAAGCAGCCCAAAATAGAAGTAGCTTTTTTTTTGCTTGGGATAGATTTCCAAAGCAGAAATTCTCTTTGGAAGTCAAACATAGGGAATAAAAAACCCCCAAGAAAACACCCCAGCTTTATTCCTCCTTGATAACATCATGATTTTTCCCTCACCCTCATGAAGGTTGGCAAAGGAGAGCAGATGTCTTTGCTGAGTAGAAACGTTTGGTGTGTTTAGTGCTGGGTCCATCTCTGAGCCTGTGCTAGGGCTGTAAAAGGTTGGGTTGTTTGCTTCCTTCCTTCCTTCCTAAACCTTTTTCTGCTGATCTTTTATTTATTAGTTCCCCCGTGGTAGCAGTGGTAACATGATCTGAACAGGTAGGAACATCTGGAGACTTCTCCCCTGGCTGACACGAAAACCTTCACTCCAAAAAATAAACCCCCCCCCCCAAATCCAAGCAATTAAAACAGTTCTTTCCAACCTACTTGCTTTCTTTTTCTTTTCTGTCTGTTCTGTCCAGAACCAAACTGTCTTATTAACTACCCCCTGGGGACTCTAACCCTGCCTGCCTCACTGCTGTAAGTCCTTTCTACCTTCTTTCCAGAGCTTTCTGAACACAGGGAGGGGGGGTTTGAAGGTGTGGGGTGAGGAAGGGAAGGGAGTGAGCACAGTTCCAGAGTGGCTGCTCCAAACCCAACAGCCCCGTGGGGGGTCTTTGTGTGGGCAGTGCCCATCTCCTGGGGCAGCACTGGGCTACCAAGAGCTCACACTGAAGTCCAGGTTGCTCATGAAGCTTGGAAAAACTGGTGCAATTTAAAGAGGGATGCAAAAAAAATGTTGGGGAGGGATTCAGATTTGGAGGAAACGTCTTTTTTTTGGAGAAAGGAGTGGTGCTGAGGAGAGCTTCTGCCTGCCCCAAGGTGCATTCCCTCACAGCCAGGGCTGGGAAGGGGTTTCCATGGGTCACCTTTGCCCATGGACGTGGCCCTGGGCTGGTTTTGGCCCCTGGCTGAGGTTGCTGCAGAGGAGGGAGGGAGGAAGCTGTGCAGATGTGAGCTGTGAGTGTCCACTCCACCTCTGAGCCAGAAAACTGATGGATGGATTGATTGTTCCAGGTAGAGAACCCACAGCTTGAAATAATGATGAAATAATCTTTGTTTTCCTTTCATTTTTCAAGGTGAAAACGTTTCCCTTTTCCAACACCACCCAAACAACCCCAAAAACTAAACTACCCACCAGATATTATGGTTTTAAGACCATTTCTAGCTAGGACAGCTGCCCGTGGAGAGCAAGGAGGGGGTTCCACAAACCACTCCGGGCACTTGCCTTCTCCTGGCTGGATTTCCTTGGCACACACCAGTCTGGGGGACCCAACTCAGCACCCAGCACCTTGGCAGGTCCATTGTTGGCCCTGGAGTGATGCCCATCAGCAGCTCAGTGTTGTGCTGGGCGTGTGTACAGGCAGGGAAGAGGAGCTTAAACCCAAATGAAACCATTGGGTAAAAGAAAAACCATTGCCCCACGTCTGCAGGCGTGCTGGGGAGGGGCTGTTAACTGGGAGGCAGCAGTGGAATTAAGAAATAATGATAAATGTGGTCACTGCTGCCATGATCAACCCCAGATAAAGCAGCCAGAAGCAAGCAGGGCTACAGAGAGAACATTTTAAGCCACTGTTTAGAAAGAGGCCAAGACAAAACCCCCCCCAAATCTCCTCCTCAGTCCCCATGTGCCTGTGAGTGCTGCTGTGCTCTTGGATTTCCCATAGCAGAGCTGAGGCTGGGGGCAGCTTGCACAGACCCTGGGCTTGTGAAACAAACAGGACATGACCCCAGGCACAAGGGGATGAGGTGGAGTGAGGGCACAGAGCCCATCTTCTTGCTAGCACTGGGTTCTAGGGCAGTCCTGCTGGTGTTTTGGGGGGAATCACCACAGAATCATGGAGTGGCTGAGGTTGGAAGGGACCTCAGAGAGCATCTACTCCAACCTCCCTGCCAGGGGGGGCATCAGGGTCAGGCAGTTTTTGGCTCAGAGGTGGGGTGGGGGGTGAAGCTGCAGATCCAGGCTCTGGAGCCCCCTGAGCAGCTTCTGTGGGGGCTCAGTGGCCTCGCTCCCCACGAGTGCCACGGGCAGATGGGCACAGCTCTTCCCTCTTCCTCAAGGGGTGGGGGGTGCTGTGGGGCTGTAGATCACCCTGTTGGCTGCCTGTTGCCTAAAGACACCCAGGTTCACCCTTCATAGAGGTTCCTCCACGCCTGACAACACACTGTCTCCAAAACACTCACCCTTCCCCAGCTCCATTGCCCATACTCAGCTCTGTGGCCTCCAAACTGATCTTCCTGCACCTCGTTTGTTCACATCATGTTACCTCCTCCAGTGTTCTCCATCCCTGCTCCCAGGTGTGAAACAGGGCACTGAGTCCTTTTTCCTCCCTGCTGTATTGTTCTTCTGCCTCATTTTCAGCCCTGTGCCTCCCCGTGCTGGAGCTTTTCCTCTGCCCTGTCTCCTTCCTGCTCCCTCTTCTCTCATCCCCAGTTTGCATTCTGATTTGGAGAGTGGTTCTTGTTGACCTCTCCTCAGCCTACACACGTGTCTAGAGGTTGACAAACTCCTCTGGTTGGCTTTCCTCAGTCCCAAAGCGTGCAGTGAAAGGGAGAGGTTTGGCTTTGGGAAGGGAAACTTGCCCCTGCAGTCACTCAGCTGGGTGCTGGGAGCCTGGCTGTGCTCTGAGCAGAGTCCATCCCTTCTAGAAGCAATCACCAACGTAAGGCCAGGGTGGGGAACCAGGACTGGGAGTTGTTTCTAACTGCAGAGGCAGGCTAACAAAGCCTGAGCATCAAAAATTTCACAGAGGAATAAAATTTCAGGGTTTTTTCCCATTTCTCTGACTGTCACCTTTAAAATCCAGTGCCACTGAATCCTGTAATTCAGGCTTCAGCAGCTGGCACTGAGGAGAGATGTCCCAGAAGATGAAATCTAGGGGTAAGCCTCCACTTCAAGCCAGCTGGAGATCACAACTAACCCTTTAGTCCTTCTCCTGCTGCTAAGAAATCCTCCCTGCATGCCAGGCTGCCCTCCAAATCAGCCAAAAGGAGCTGGTGGTTGAGTCTCCCCCCTGCTTGCAGATGCCAAACCCGGCCCTGCTGTGGCAGGTCAGCCCTTGGAGGGACAGAGGAGCAGTGGAGCTTCCCAAATTGTCCTGCAGAGGTGCCCTGCAGCTCCTCTCCTCCTGCACAAGGAGGATTATCAAGAGGAGTGTGGCCAG